GGAGCAAGGAGACGGCGTGACAGATGGGATCGCGATGTCGGGGTCGACGGACGCGGCTCGAACTTGTCGCCGTCCAAGCAGGAATCGAGGAGCGCCGGGACGGGGCGTCGTTGGGGACGGCGGCGTCCGTGGCTCCGTGCCCATCCGCACGCCACCCACGATGCTGTCGCGCTGCTCGGCCACACCCTAACATCCCTGACCTAGCCGCTGTCGGCGCGGACGGCGGCGGCGCCGCGGGCGTCCTGGACGAGGTCGTAGGGGAGGAAGAGCGAGTCGGCGAGGGCCGCGCGTAGGGGAAAGGTTTGGCGAGGAGGTGGCGCATGCGGGAGAAGACCTTGGCCGGGCGGCGCGCGGTGATGCCGGCCGCCTCCTCGTCGTGTCCGCGGCCTGCGCTGGCGGCGGCGGCGGCGGTAGAGAAGGGGAGAGGGGCGCGACGGGGAGAATGGGCTAGGGTTCCTACCCAATCGGGGGCCCTCCCCACTCTGACGCCAAATTCAACCACCCACACGACGCCACGCACGGGCACGCACGCAAATTTCCACAAATGCCCTCGGCGGGGTGGCGAAATTACTGGCGGTGGCATGATATTTTGACAGCAAAACACATACACCAGACGCTGACAAACGCGGCACATGCGAGCGACCCCACACGTCACCGAGACCGGAACGAGTATGTGAAGTGAGAGAGACCGGGAGGGGGCGGTAACTATTCATTGCTACAGGCGCGCGGCTCGATCCGACGGCCAGAATCATTCACCGCATCGATCTAACGGACAGAATCGCATCACGAAAACGGATCAGATGGCCAGAATCCGCTGAGCTCTGAGGAGGCGCGGGAAGCACTGGATCTCTTATTTTTCGATATGGGAAAATCAAGACCAAGCATTTCGTTCTTTTTTCTCGATTGAAAGTTTTGTAGTTGGGCTCTTTGAACATTATATTTCGGTCAGGGAAAGAGATTAATCAAGACCCCTGGAAAAGCAAGGATTTTGATTGCGCGTTTTTTCACATAAAAACAGTCTTCACTGGGAACTCCAACATACTTGTCAGCTACTCCCTCCGTTCGAAATTACTCGTCTAAAAAATAAATGTATCTAGATGTATTTTAATAATAGATACATTCATTTTTGGGACAAGTAATTCCGAACCGAAGGAGTACTCGGTAAGCTACAGAAACTCTATCTTAGTCACTGGATCCTTTCATACGACCATGGCACTGCATTCTGCATTCTGACTGAATTTGTGATTCTCGCCGGCCACAATCTGAATTTCAGTCAGTTAAAACAGGCAACAAGGAGCATCTGTGTAAGTGGATAAGCTCTGCCTCAAGAACAAGAAACTGTGTAAGTTCATCTGAAATAACAATGGCTGGACATCCTTTACTGCCCTTTTCAAACAAATAAATATACTCTAGCTGTTACAGTGTATGATATGCAATGCACCCTGCACTAATAATACTTTACACTCACTCTCAAGACTGCTTCCAATTTTATGATCGGATTTAGTAAACCAGTTTGTTTCTGTTGGCCGCCTTCTTTGCTCTTTCGCTTGTTTTGGTGGACTGGCTACGTGCTGCTGCTGCTTGATGTAAGAGCATCTCCAGCCGTTGGCCCCTCAGGACGCCTAAAAATCGTCCTCTAGGGACGAGTCGGCGATACATTCGGTGCTGAGACGGTTTTGCGTCTAGTCGTCGTCCCCAGGCGCCGATGTTGGCCCATTTTTCAGCCTCATTTCGGTGAATATAAAGCCCATATGGACGGGAATAGGCTCATATTCGGCGTCGTTCGCCGTGGCTCGACGTTCAATTATCAACATAAATATTTTTTTATCATATATTTTTCACAGAAAAATCAAATACTTCAATAAAATAGTTCAACAACAAATAGTTCAATGCAAATTATATAGTTCAACAAATAAAAACTCATATTTCATCACACGTCGCGCCCGGCGTCGCCCTTGAGCCTCCATAGGTGCTCTATCAGATCTTGCTGCAGTTAATGATGCACTTGTTGGTCTCGGATCTCCTGACGCATACTGAGGTATGCAGTCCAGGTTGCTGGTAGCTGGTGATCAACTTGGGCAAGAGGACCCTGTCTGTGGTATGGTTCAGTGTCAAACAATGGCTCTTCCTGCTCGCTCTCAATGATCATGTTGTGCAAGATGACACAGCAGGTCATGATCTCCCACATTTGATATTTCGACCAAGTCTGAGCGGAGTACCGAACAACAGCAAATCGAGATTGGAGCACACCAAATGCCCGCTCGACATCCTTTCTGCAAGCCTCCAGAATCTTCGCAAACCAGGCGTTCTTGCCTCCAGGCACAGGGTTTGAGATGGTCTTCACAAATGTCGACCATCTCGGATAGATGCCATCAGCTAGATAGTACCCCTTGTTGTAGTGCCGTCCATTGATCTCGAAATTCACCGGAGGAGAATGACCTTCAACAAGCTTGGCAAAGACAGGACAGCACTGCCGCACGCTGATGCCATTGTGAGTTCCTGGCATACCAAAGAAGGAGTGCCAAATCCAGAGGTCCTTCGTGGCCACCGCCTCAAGTACCACACTGCAACCGCCTTTGGCGCCTTTGTACATTCTCTGCCAAGCAAATGGGCAATTCTTCCATTTCCAATGCATACAGTCGATGCTTCCAAGCATCCTAGGAAATCCTCTTGCTGCATTCTGTGCTAGGATCCGAGTAGTGTCTTCCGCATTGGGTGTTCTCAAGTATTGCGGTCCAAACACTGTCACCACTGTCCGACAGAACTTGTAGAAACACTCTATGCTGGTGGACTCGGCCATGCGCCCATAGTCGTCCTGTGAGTCACCGGGAGCTCCGTATGCAAGCATCCTCATCGATGTCGTGCATTTCTGGATCAAGGTGAATCCAAGTTTACCGTGCAATCCATCTTGCATTTGAAGTAGTTGTCGAACTCGCGGATGAAATTCACAATCCTGAGGAAAAGCTTTCTGCTCATCCGATAACGACGCCGAAATGTTTTTGCCGCCGTGAAGTGGAGCATCGGCGAAGTAGTCGGAGTAGAGCATGCAGTAGCCTTCGAGATGATGCCGGTTCTTTGCTTTCATCCGCCCCGGCGCCGAGCCACCTCGCCGCGGCTTTTCATTGCTCGCCAGCAGCTGGGTGAGGGCGGCGAGCACCATGAGATACTCTTCTTCCTGGACGTCGGCCTCGGCTTCCTCCTCCAGCAGCGCGGCGAGAGCTTCCTTGTCATCCGATTCCATCACCGAGGCAGGCAAATCTCCGAACACCTTGCGCCCGGTTGGCGTGCACCCGCCGCTAAACTGCCCCTCCGCGGCCGGAAACGGCGG